TCACTCTTATATAGAAGAATTAGTGGCATCATTAGCTTCAAGATTTTGTTGGTGATCTCAGACTTTGTTTCAAGGACTAGGAGAAATGTGGCAATGAAAAAAATAGCTAACATTTATTAAATACCTCTTACAGTTCCTATGTGCAAAGTAATCTCACACATAATTTGTATCTTGGAGCAGCCTTGAATATCTGGTGTTTTTCCTTAGCAGGTATCATTTTCTTTGTACTGCCTGAGGATTTTCCAGATATGAAAAGGAAACAAGGAGAGAAGTGAATTTTGAAAAGTTGAGAATGTCTTCTAAAGGGCTCAGTTGGAAATTATCTTTATTCTATAATGGGAGATACCGTGAAAGTGAGGGCATTTGCTTCATTAAATATAGGTCATGCTTTCTGTTCTTATATGGGTGCTCTCTTCTCTTTTGCACAATTGTTTCTCATTTTTATAAATGAGATTTTAAAAAGAAGCTAAAAAGGTAGTTGTTGAGTGGCTGTGAAGGATATGCAGAAATTACTAGCAGTAGTCAGTTGGCTGACTTGGTGTTTTAAATTTTGAGAAGTGATAGTATTGGGGAAGTGAAATACATGGATTAGTCTGAACACTCATTGCCTGTGTTTGGTTAGCAAGAGCAGGTTTCTCCTCTAGGGTGCAAGTTGTATGTTCTGAGGAGTTTGCATTTGATAGGAAATAAGGGATTCAAGCACTTCTCTTCCTGCACAGGAATATGCATGAGAAGAAAAAAGGAGTTTTGTTAGCAGTTGTCGTGTGGGGAAGGGAAGTGGGGGAGGGATGAAGAAGGAAAAGGCTTGCAAATGCATATGACACTGAGCTAGAAGGGGTCAGTGCTGCCTGCAGATGCATAGCCCCATTTGTGCACTTGAGCATGGCCTGGGGGAGCATTGGCCTGATGAATGCAGAGAGAGATGCGTTTTTTGATCGAGGTAATTTCCCTCAGATGGGTCTTGCCATCCCATGAATCAAAACCTGTCAGCAAGGAGCTAAAGATGAAGTGAAGTTTATTGTACATTTGTTTCCATGCGACACCGTCACGCTAGAAGGGTCAGTGAGAGCGATCATTAGAACTGTGTTGATTTACTGGGCCTGGTTGTGCACTTTCCCTGCAGGGCAAGGAGGAAGAGGCTTTAAGAGGAGAGCTGAGGGGTTCTGGGTGGGGAGGGAAGGACTGACTATTTGTGTGAGTTGAAGGAGGCTGCATTGTCACACCCCCCATTCCCTGGTGGATTTAGAGCAGATGTTCTGCCTGGATCTCCAGGAGAGGCACCAAAGATCTTAATACAAAGGGCAGCTCACCAGAATTCTCTGACACTAGTCTTAGCGGCTAGAGGAGTGTATCTCCCCATTCTTCTTTTCCTGTTCCCCCTCCTTAACTCACCTTTGAGCACAAAAGAAAACACAGGAATTAATTAATTAAATTATAAATTAATTCATTTAGAATTCAAACTGCCCTTTTCAGGATATAGCAAGATAAAGGACCATGAAGAGGCGAGGCCTGGTGGTTCCCACCTGTAATTCCAGCACTTTGGGAGGCTGAGATGGGAGGATCGCTTGAGCCCAGGAGTTCAAGACCAACCTAGGCAACATAACAAGACCTTGTCTGTAATAAATAAATAAGTTAGCTGGGTGTCGTGGAGTGTGCCTGTAGTCCCAGCTACTCAAGAGACTGAGGCAGAAGGATCTCCTGAGCCCAGGAGGTCGTGGCTGCAGTGAGCTGAAATTGTGCCACTACTGCACTCCAGCCTGGGTGTCAGAGACCATGAGTCCAAAAATTTTTTAGAGGTTTTTAGAGAGTGAGCCAGTAATCCCAGTACTTTGGGAGGCTGAGGCAGGAGGATCGCTTGAGATCAGGAATTCTAGACCATCCTAGGCAACATAACAAGACCTGATCTCTATAAATAATTAGGCCAGTTGTGATGGTGTGTGCCTATAGTCTCAGCTACTTGGGAGATTGAAGAATCACTGGAACCCAGAAGCTTGAGACTGCAGTGAGCTGTGATTGTGCCACTGAACTCCAGCCTGGGTCAGAGTGAGACCCTGACTCAAAAAAAAAAAAAGAAATGAAAAGAATTATGAAGAGAAAGACCATTCCACACATTCCAAATGGATATAGGCTTTGTTCAGGGAGTGGCCTCAGGATTTGTGCTGAGATAAAAGTCATATCTCCTCTGTGATTTAAACTTGCTGAAATATTCCTAGCACTAAATTGAATGAAAAAGAGTATTGTTGTAGTTCAGCAAGATGTTGCTCTAGTCCTGGCTCTCCCCAAGAAGAAATAGCTGTTCCTTTAATTCTCCCTAAAATGGTCTGCTACTTGGCCAGGGGACTTTGTGAAATGGATATATTATCATCTAGCATATTCTAGAGGTTCTCATTTTGAAATCTTCATTTGTATCCCTTATTCACTTTATCTTAATGGTAGTAGACAAAATCAAGAAAACTTTTCCCCCTGACTTTGGTAGTGGAAAGTATTGGCGGGGCTTGTGTTTGTAGGAAACCTTTCTGATTTTTGTATTACAGTTTAACAGATGGAATAGCCAATTAGCCAAAGTTAGAAACAAGTTCAGCCAAGAAAATCTTTAGCACAGGATTACTAACTAGAGTCCTTTCCCTAGATCCCTAGTTAGTTATGAAGTAGAGGCAAATTGTATGACAGAAAGGGGATGGGGTCCTATATTGCTGACCCAGTCATTTGAGTAATGTGAAGTGGTTACTGTAATTCACAAATACTTTTGGCTAAAGTTCTCAGTGATCCTTCTCCCTTGGGGATTAAGCATTTCATTCTGCCACTGTTCTTCCAAAGAAATACTTACATGAGATACCTGGGGAGATGGTAAAGTTAGAGAAGTGGGTTATTGAGTAAAATGTCTTGGGTTCCACCTGGGGAGATGGTAAAGTTAGAGAAGTGGGTTATTGAGTAAAATGTCTTGGGTTCCAGTTCTGACTCTGCCCTTACTATTTGTGAGATTTTGAACAAATTACTTAATCTCTCTAGGTCTTCGTTTTCATACCTGTGAAATAAAAGTTTTTTTCTTCTTTTTTTTGAGTTGGGGTCTTACTCTGTTACTCAGGCTGGCATGCAGTGGCACGATCATGGTTCACCGCAACCTCAAACACCTGTGCTCAAGTGATCCTCCTGCCTCAGCCTCCCAAGTAGCTGGGTCTAAGGGTACATGCCACCATGCCTGGCTAATTTTTTGATCTTTTGTAGAGACCAGGCCTCTCTGTGTCGCCCAGGCTGCTCTCAGACTCTGGGACTGACTCAAACAATCCTCCTGCTTTTGCCTCCCAAAGTGCTGGAATTACAGGCATGAGCCAGTGTGCCCAGCCTATGAAATGAATTTTATCATAGTGCTACTTCATAGGATTATTATAAGAAATAAATGAGGAATCACATGTAAAGAATGCCACATGGTACCTGGCATATAGTAAACAACTCAATGTTTGTGGCTATATTATTTTAATGTATGATTATTAAGGACAATAATATTTCTTTCTTCTTGGAACTTACTGCTTTATAATAATTCAGATTACATTCATGAAGTACTACTGTGGAATTGTTGGTGGGTGATTATAATGAAAAAGGCAGAAAAACTATATTCTAATAGTATGCCTTGATTACATGGTAGTTCATTGCTTCATAGCCACCATTTTTTCTTGACTTCCTTCCTACTCACTGGAAAGCAGTTGCAGCAAACTGGAGAAAATGAACATCTTTCTCAAGCTGAGTCAAAGTGAGACTTAGACTGTAGTCCCACCTGCTGTGTTCAGAGAGTTGGACTAGTTAAACAAATTGCGCACAAAAAGCTGGAGAGCTGCCCTGCTTTTGATTTTAGAGGTGGCTGCTGTGGTCACAGGGGACAAAGGCAAGTTTTTAGATGAGACTGAGAGCAGAGACATTGAAAAATTCCTGTGTTTCTCTAAGTCTTTTGATTGCCTTTGCTGTTGACCTCATGGTTTTGGGACACCCAGAGACACAGCCCGCCTATAGACTATAGGAATATAAATTTGTTGAGGTTTAAAAATAACTAGCTTAGAAGCACCACATAGACACTCCCTAAAAGTTTGTTTGGACTTTTTTGAGCTGGCCTTCTGTTGGGTTAATTTTTGTAAATAAAGTAAAAGAAACTCTCCTCCTCCGTGGTGAGGATGGATATGTCTATATGGGGTGTCTTGAGATTATGAGAGGAATGGGATATTTGTATAGATGTGCCAAGTCTTAGAAAATCCTCCTGGGAGGAAAGAAACACCTGGGGAGGCTACCTGCTTTCAGATGTTTACTAATCCTGGGATTGAGCTTTTGATTACTGCTGACTGGGTATGAGGGGAAGGTGGAGAAGGAAAAGATAACTTTTAAAATGGGATAAATAAAGTGACAGGGTTTAGGTTCTCTTGGGAAAATATACTGCTGTATTGAACAGTATCAGATATGAATAGTAGCTCTGTCTTTAAAACACCTATAGGAGAATGGCTATCTCCAACTCATGGTAAACTGAAACATTCTCTCCAGTTTCCAAGCATATATATCATGACACTCATGAATGCTTGGAAAAGGCTTGAGCATCTTTTAGAAAGATGACTATGTTTTTCAGAAACACCACTCTGGCCTTCTTCCCCTTTCTTTCCTTGGTAACTTGTAAGCAGTGTTCAGCAAGTAGTTGGGGTGCTTCCTACCAACTTGTTCTCTGTAGGTGTTACTTAGTGAAACTTCAGTTCTCCTTATCTCTGAACTGCCACAATTTCTTGAGCACAGAAATTTGTTTTATGGGTGTTTCCTATTATTTCTTCACTCTACTTGTCTTATGAGTATTGAGCCCCTATCTAAAATTAAGTTTTTAGTCATTCTAGGTTTTTAGTGATCCTTAGTTCTTGGCACAAAGTTGGCTGACACATTGTGACCAGTGAGTCATAATTTCATTCCTATTTATTTTGTGAATGGACCCTAGTTTGTTTCAGTCTCTCTTCTTTTTTGTTGTCCCTGAACAGTCTGAAGATGATGAGAAACTGAAAAAGAGGAAGGAGCGATTTGGAATTGTCACGAGTTCAGCTGGAACTGGAACCACAGAGGATACAGAGGTAAAACATACCTAGAATGCTTCATAGGGCTCTTAAAGGGAAATAAGAGTGAATAAACTGAGTGGAGAAAGTTTCCCCAGCCTACTTCCTAAGTGCCCAAATGACAAAGTATTTTGCCTTTTGTTTGGTAACTTTTTTCTGGATGAAGTGGTCACACTGAATCCCATCCATATACTTAATTCAGTGTTAGTCTATTAGCCTGGTGGCACAGAGCATGAGTTTTGGAGTCAGGGCCGGGCTCAGTGGCTCAGCCTGTAATCCCGTGTTTTGGGAGGCTGAGGTGAATGGATTGCCTGAGCCCGTGGGTTCGAGACCCGCCTGGGCAACTTGGTGAGACCTCATCTCTACGATAAATCAAAAAAATTAGCCAGGCGTGTGGTAGTTTCAGCTACTTGGAAGGCTGAAGCGGAAGGATCGCTGGAGCCCAGCAGGTGGAGGCTGCGGTGGCCGGGAGCATGCCTCTGGGTGACAGAGTGAGACTCCAACTCAAAAAAAAGATTTAGAGTCAAGTAGGCTTGGATTCAAAAAGTATCTCTGCCATTTAGTATTAATAAGTTACAGCATATTCCTGAGCCTCTTTCATCAGATGGGAAGTGGAGGTAATATATCTACCTCAAAGTGGTATTTTTAAGAATGAAATTATACAGACTGGGCATGGTGACTAGTTTCTGTAATCCTAGCACTTTGGGAGGCTAAGGCAGGAGGATAACTTGAGCCCAGGAGTTTGAGCCCCGTCTGGGCAGCATAGCAAGACCTTGTCATTACCAAAAAAAATCAAGAAATTAGCTGGGTATGGTGGCCACACTTGACTATTCAGGAGGCTGAAGCAGAAGGATCACCTGAACCTCAGAGTTGCAGGCTGTGGTGAGACATGATCATGTCACTGTACAACCTGGGCCACAGAGCAAGGCCCTGACTCAAAAAAAGAATGAAAGGAAATGATTCTGATCAGGCTTAGCGGCTCATCCTATAATCCCAGCACTTTGGGAGGCCGAGGCAAGTGGATTGCCTAAGCCTGCAGGTTCAAGACCAGCCCAGGCAACTTGGTGAGTCCTCGTCTCTACAATAAATAAAAAGTTAGCCAGGCATGGTAGCGCGTGCCTGTAGTTCTGGCTTCTTGGAAGGCTGAGGTGGGAGGATCGCTGGAGTCCGGCAGGTCGATGCTAGGGTGGCTGTGAATGTGCCACTGCTCTCCAGCCTGGGTGATGGAATGAGACTCCAACTCAAAAAAACAAAAAAAAATTATTCTGTGTAAAAAGGTATAGTGTGAGTAAAATGCTTAGAATGTTGTCTGTCATATTTTAAGTAGTAAGTAGCAATGTTTATTGTTCATTTCCTTTGTGCATTTAGTGAAGGTCATCTCTAACCCAGACACAAATGTAGTTGTGCCTAACTCCTCTCTGGAAAAGAACAATGGACTCAAATGAGATTTCTCGTTTTTGTCACTTTGTTTACATAAAGTAGTTTTGAAAGAGGGACTTTTTTATCCTCTAAGACTCATGTTTATACATATGCCAGGTTCTCCTGGCGTAGCTCATGTTCACTGAGGTTGATCATTGACAGTGTTAATTTGAGAGTACATAAAGAACAATTGAAATAATGTTGAATTCTAAAAAAGCATATTTTTAGAATAATTGAAATCTTCTTGGGTGGCAAAGAATTTGGACTGTTCTTTGATACTTCCTTTTAATCCAAGTTTACTTCTCTACATCTGCCTCTGGAGAGCGCCTCTACAAAGCTATATGCTCAAAATCTTTATGAAAAATTTCTTTATGAATAAATATCAGAGTCAGTCTTGTGAATTAAATCCTGAAAATTTTAGAATCAGATTAGTTTACATTCTTCACTAGGAAAAAACTAAAAGAGTTTGTATTCTTTATGCTACTGAGAGTACTACCTGTTTTACATATCTGCTTGCTTACTGACTTACCTAGATGAACTAGTAGTAAACTTAGGCTTGTTTTAATTCTAGTTACAATTATTCCCTCCTTACCAAGGAGACTATTGCTTAGCCAGGCATGCTTACTAAGGAGGTACATTTGGGCCTCTCCAAGTTAAAGAGGATGAGTTTTTTGGGTTTTTTTCCCTTGAGTTGGAGTCTCACTCTGTTGCCAAAGCCTGGAGTGGTACACTCACGGCCACCGAAGCCTCGACCTGCTGGGGTCAGGTGATCCTTCCGCCTCAACCTTCGAAGTCGCTGGAACTACTTGGTTCCACGCCTGGTGCTACCACGCCTGGCAAACTTTTTTATTTTTTGTAGAGACGAAGTCTTACCAAGTTGCCCAGGCTGGTCTTGAATCCCTGGACTCGGACAGTCCTCTCTCCTCAGCCTCCCAAAGTGCAGGGATTACAGGCTTGAGCCTCCCCTCGCCCGGCCCAAGGATGAGGATTTTGTTGGGCAAGTCAGTGTATGTCAGGGAGCAGTAACTTCTGGCCAGTGGGGTTTACATGAACCAGATGATTTTTGTTTGATTCCAAAGAATTGTGTCAGTAGTTCAGGTGGAGTGGCCTGGGCTTGTGTGCATTCAGTGTTCTTTTTAAATATATGTTAAATCTTCTTTCTGTATGAATGGGATGAATAAAAGTTTCCCACTTTGCTGAGGGCAGTGGTTGTGAGGAAGAAGGACTCTGCTGTTTTGTGAGTCATTGCCAGAACAAAAAGTTCCTTCCTCTGTCCCCATTTTGTGCCTTCTCTGCAATGCTGCCTCCCTTAAAAGATCCGTGACGGGGACCCACATGCAAACACCTTTTACCTCCACCACTACCACCCCCACCACCCTCCCCATCCCACCACCCCGATTTATTCTGTTGGCACTGAAGATTTATATGCTTTTCTGTGGATTAGGAACCTGAGGAATAGCTGCTGTCTGGACCTGACTGCTCTGAAGGGCATTCCCCACCTTCATGAATAGCATTGGTTAACCCTTTGTTCTCTGAAATCTCCCTTATCCCCACTGACTGGAAGACTTTCCCTGGTCTGTTAAGAGCCTATTGTTTCCAGACTAGCTTTTTCCAAGTCTGAGTGGCCCTCTTAGGGAATCTTTCCATTTTGTACCACTATTCTTCTTCCTCTGGCTGCTCATATTACCCTCCTTTCCCCCCAAACCTTCCCAGATCTAACTGGATAACTGGGGAGATTGGAGAGATTCGGCAATGAAATCTGTAACTGCTAAGTTTAAGTCTGGGCCATCCATCCCTGGACCTTGTGACAGTTCATGTGAGCTTGAATTACAGCAGCCAGGAACTCGGGCAACTGTTGTCTTATAATCTGATTTTTTTCTTCTTGCTTCTTCCTTACAGGCAAAGAAGAGGAAAAGAGCAGAACGCTTTGGGATTGCCTGATGAAAAGTTCTTGATGCTTTGTGTTCTCCAGTGGTTTCCATTTCTCTGATTCTTCTTGGTCACATATATACCTAAATGCACAGTCATGTGCCTACGTCCTGCCTCTCAATAAGGGAGCATGTACCTCAGGTACATCCGTGAACTGCTGCAGCAATTTGACTTATTCCAACTTTAAGATTGTTGTGTTTTTGTTTTATTTTGCTTGTTAATAAAAAAAAATAGAAAAGAGAACAATGTGTTTTATTAGGTGCTCCTCTAATTTCTTGGAGCCAGATTAGACCAGATAAGGGGGGCTTCAGGGGCAACTATTATAGGGAATTAGCTGTAATGCCTTTATCCCTTAGAAAAGAAGACTAGGAAAAGGATTGAGTCTGCCCCTAAAGCCTGTTTATTTCCTCCTCTCATACTCACAAGCATCCTTTTACCTCATTATCCTCTGTGAAGAGGCCAAGTTACTTTCTGAGTCTTTGCTTCAGCAGGTTGGAGTGGCCCGTGGAGATAAAATAGAGAACATGGGAGATTTTAGATGGTGCAAAGGATATAAATACAAGAGCTAAAGACTGTAGTTGTTTTTTTTTTTCCCCCCCTTAGTGGGAGTCTCTGTTGTCCAGGCTGGAGTGCAGTGGTATGCTCACAGCCACCATAGCCTCAACCTGCTGGGCTCAGGTGATCCTTCCACCTGTGCCTTCCAAGTAGCTGGAACCACAGGTGTGCACCACCTCACACGGCTAATTTTTTAATTTATTGTAGAGACAAGGTCTTGCCAAGTTGCCCTGGCTGGTCTTGAACCCCTGGACTCAGGCAGTCCTCTCTCCTCTGCCTCCCAAAGTGCTAGGCTTATAGGTGTGAGCTACCATGCACAGCAGGTAGTCTAATATGAGTAATAATGAAGCATTTTTCTCGGATAAAATGGGGTCCAGAGTTCCACAGAAAGGTGAAGAGCCCCATTTCCAGGGTTGGCCTGGTATGGTCCCAACAGAAACTAATACATGGGACTGTCTTGGTTAGGCAGTTTTGGATGTCTGAATAGTAGAAAGTATAGAGACAGAGGATGTCAGAGATGTTAAGCATTATTCTTACCTAGATATTGGGAACATAAGCAGTGGAACTGGAGGCTTCTACTTTGTAATCAAACTTTGTGCTAGTTTGTCCTCTTCTGTTGCAATTTTGGCGGTAATGTTTCTTAGATATTACTAAATTTCATTTTCCTTGCTGAGCCTCCTACTTAGAAAAGGTTTGAGTCTCCCCAGGGAGACTGCTTGTTTGCATTTTAAGTTCATATATATCCAACACCTACTATTTACTCTTTCTGGATGTGTTAACATAGGGTTTCTCCCCTTAACTTTTTATTTGAGCATCTACATACTCTTGGCTTTTTTTTTTTTTTTGGTAATAAGATTTGTGAGCCTGCCACCTTCCCTGAAGACTTTGGTACCAATCAGATTGTGTTGCTGTGGTATAATCCTCTATCTTTTTTTAAACCAAAACCTTGGTTTTGTGATTAATAGGTAATGGTTTGATCACCTTTCTGGAATGAAGAATCTTTTTATTTCCACAAAGTCTCTAGTTGGCGAGGAAGGCAGGGACCTAAGTTTAGGCAGTTTAGGAAAACTGCGCCTTGGAGAGCAGATTGAAGGACTGCCCATTTGTCATGAACTTTGCCCCATTCTAAGACTTGGGAGAAATGAACAAAAGGGAAAGCTTGCTAAATTTTTGACACCTCCTCAACTATATAAACCTTACAATTGAGGTGACCTTCCCTCTGTTTCCACTGCTCTCTTCTGTCTGCCTTTTTTTTTTTTTTTTTTTTACACTTCAGGCTCTGATCTTGGGGCATTTACTCACTCTACTCTGTCTTCATCTGGAAACAAGCCGAGAGAATAGTTCTGATATATAACTTTAAAGAGATTATGGATTCAGTAAGGGTTCCTACACCAGGAAGGTAGGTAAAGGAATAGAGCAGATGTGATAATGAAGGAGAGGATCCTGAAGTTTTCTTACTTTGTCCTCCGTAACCTTCTAGAAAGGTATTCAACCTTACTGTGTGTGTGTGTGTGGGGGGGGTGTCTCTTCTCACTCAGCTCACTTCCCCCAAATCTTTGATACAATGTCTTCCAGTATGTGGGGATTTTTTGCTAACCTTTTATCATCCCATTTCAGCACCTGAATTATGTGTTGGTCAGAAGTCTTTACCCTCAAAGCCTGGTCACCAAAATCCTCTTCCTATCTCATTGTAGTCATTCCACACATACTTTTTGAGTGTGTATTTTCAGGATGCCCATGTCTTTTTCGTAATTCAGTCTTAAAATAGTAAGTCCATTTAGAGACAACAGACATTGGGGCCTGTAATCCTTTATCTAGGATCTGGGTACCCTTGCTTCCTATCCCGTCTTCCTAGTGTAGCTAACCCAGCATCCTGATGCAGTTTGCTGACCCCAGTTTTCTCCTTGTCCTGAAGCTGTGACATTCTCTACATACCTGGAAGCTCTTAATGAGGGAGTCTATAAAAGCAGTGGCGAGAACCAGCTTCCTCAGCTGTAAATCTGCACCTTTTTATGGTTCTCTTTTTTTCTACCGTCACTCTAAACTGCCCTTCTCCCCACCACACCTCTTAAGAATTGCTGAAGACAGAGGCTAGAAGCTTCTGTGGGGGTGAGGGCTATAGGAAGGGCGGTGTGAATAAAGGCAGGTCTTAGTGTTGAGCTGATCCTCTTGCTGTGTCTGACATGAGAAACTGATGAGGAAGGAGGAGGGAACTTAACATAAATACAGGAGGAGAACTGTTTTTCCCTGTTTGTCATGAGAGCCTCTGACAGACAGTACCACTTATTTCTGGTTATCAAGATCCTCCAAAATCTAACCTCCCGTTCTCTTGCCATGTCCAGGCTTATTTTTTTCCTCCAAAGGGATTAAGAATGACAGGTTTCATATCTTTGCAGACCCTTTGAGCCCAAGGTGTTCCCCGTCTTCTCAGGATCTCTTATCTCTGTTATCACTGTATTCAGGTTTCTGCTTCTTAGATCACTATTAATAGAATAGATTATAATGTAATATGTAGCAACTACTTAGGGTTCATTTCTCATTCTGTCACACTAGCTCTGAGACCTTGAGCAAATTACTTCATCATTCTATGGCTCTTTTTCAGACTCTGTACCAATAAGAGCCCCATTGTGAAGTTGCTGTGAGAATTCAGCGATATCATATTATGTTCTCAGCATACTTTGCTTATCATAGTTTGCATAGTAATCATTCAATAAGTATTAGCTTTTAATTTTACTAGTTGACTAGAGTGCAGCGGAGATGTATATATATTTTTTCCTGAATAGGTTCCAGCTAGGGTGGGAGGGTGGTGTGCATGAACTGGTTTGAGTGTATGTGCCATAGACCTGCTTATACAGTTGTATTTGGGGATTAGGAGACTAGAAAAAGTAGAGGTACGGTTTTTCATTTTGAGAAATTTGCCCATGCCCTGCCATGAATCTTCCTTTTTTCTTCTCTTCTGGCTAATAAACTCTGTTTTAAAACTTCAAGAGAAAGAAAGAAACCAAAGGTAGGAAGAGCTCACTGGCAGGAAAGCTGACATGGTTGCCTGGGGCATTGACTTTCCTGTTTCTGCCCCAGTACAGGCCAGAAGCTGTAAATGCTTCTGCCTTCTGGTTCTTAGCCTGGGGCCCCTGACATCCAAAATACAGGCAAAGGCAGAGTATAGAATACCTGCTCATGCCCTAGGTTGAAGGATTTTAGGATGAAAAAAGACTTAAAAAAAAGTCATCTTATAGACTTACAGGTGTTCTTTCAATGCAGGAAATAAATGAGCAGTAGGGGAGGAAAACTCTCCCTTTTGGCATAGGCATAAAGCTAGGAGTAGGTGTGGATAAAGTAACACTCAATGAGACACAGCCCGATTCTTGTAGTTGGTGTGGGGTGGGGTCAGTCTGCTGATAGAAGTGACAAGACAGGGAAAAGGGATGGTAGTAGAGTGAAGTAGAGTGAACCCTCAGTGGTCCTGTCCCAAACTCTGGTTCAGGTTGATCTCGAAGGCACTTTCCTTATTTTTTCTTTTTGAGTTGGGAGTCTTACTCCATTGCCCAGGCTCAGGTGCAGTGGCACACTCACGACTACCCCAGCTTCAACCTGCTGGGTTCCGGTAATCCTTCTGCCTCAGCCTTCCAAGTAGCCAAAACTACAGGTGCGTGCTACCATGCCCAGCTAATTGTCTTTTTTGAGTTGGAGTCTCACTCTATCACCCAGACTGGAGTGAAGTGGCATGCTCCCGGCCACCGCAGCCTTGCTCTACTAGGCTCTGGTGATCCTTTCACCTCAGCCTTCCAAATAGCTGGAACTACAAGTGTACGCTACTACGCCTGGCTAATTTTTAAAAAATTTATTGTAGAGATGAGGTCTCGCCAAGTTGCACAGGCATGTCTCGAACCCACGGGCTTAGGTAATCCACTTGCCTTGGCCTCCCACAGTGCTGGGATTACAGGCTGAGCAACCAAGCCCGTCCCCTTTATTTTCATTTTCTTTCTTTCTTTCTTTTTTTTTTTTGAGTTGGAGTCTCGCTCTTTCACCCAGACTGGAGTGCAGTGGCCGCTCCGCGCCACCACAGCCTTGACCTGAGCTCCGGTGATCCTTCCACCTCAGCCTTCCAAGTAGCTGGAATTACAGGTGTGCGCTACCACGCCCAGCTAATTTTTGATTTATTGTAAAGATGAGGTCTCGTCAAATTGCCCAGGCGGGTCTCGAACCCGTGGGCTCAGGCAATTCACTCACCTCGGCCTCCCAAAACACAGGATTACAGGCTGAGCCACTGAACCCGGCCTATTTTCATTTTCTTAGAGACAGGTGCTGTCACTCAGGCTGGAGTGCAGGGGCTGTTCACAGGTATGACCATAGTGCACTGTAGCCTTAAACTCTTGGGCCTCAAGTGATCCTCCCACCTTAGCTTCCCAAGTAGCTAGGACTACAGGAGCATGCTGCCACACCCAGCTTTCCTTAGTTTTGAAAATGTGCATCAGGCAAGATTCTTTTGCCATTCCCAGTTCACATGCTCTGGGAATTGTGCTTTAGGTACACAGGAGGTTTTTATAGTGGACTCAATATTTGAGATGCTTTTAACCACTCTTGTGAAACTGGTAAGCTGAATGGCTATGTTGGGTTGGTTTCCAGATTTTGATGAAACTTCGTTGAGCAAACCTAGGATCAGGGGCTGCAGGAGAACAGGACAGACACTAGCTGGATCATCTCAGGAAAACTTTGAGATTGTCCATTCTGTGGAGGCCGGAAGAGGATTTTTGTAATCTTTGGGAATGTTTTGGATCAAGCTCTGCAGAGAAGGGTTGTTCTAGCTGCCCTCCCTTCCCATCCACCCTTGAGCTGCACATCCCAACCCTTGTACCACCTGCCCTTAGTGTTTCTCTCTTGCTCCAAGGACCCATCTTAGTCCATGAGCACAAGGTTTCCTCAGATCTTCTTCACCACCTGGTCTCCAGGTGTAAATGTGGTATTGATTAGGGAGAAGAGCTCAGCACTGAATTCTAAACTCTTTGACTGCTTTTATTTTTCTTTTTTCAGGTTCAAGTGCTGGATTGTGTCATGTGACCATCCCAAAACTCAGAGCACCCTATGGCCATCTTTGCCCTCTGTCACATAACTTGAAAACTGCCTGATGGCCTTTTTTGCAGTGGTTCCCTCCAGGAAGCCTTGATCTCAGTGAAGAAGTCCTTTCACAGCATTCCAGTGCCCCTGTCAGTCCCATACTCCTCAGACACCCTTAACAAAGGCTATCACGCACATGATGTAACAAATACACAAAGTAAATAATAATTACACTAATAATGATATGTTTGGAGGGGCACTGGCCAGGTCCACACCCATCATACGGTGGGAGGGAGTGCTAGCTCCCACTGGGTTGCTGAGCTGTGCCACCAAGCCTCTTCACCCCATGCCTCTTTGGAGGTAGAGAGGAATAGGGGAATGAGACTTCAGCGCCTAGTTTTATGTTCATAAGATAAAGACCACCCCACCCTCCCTCTCGCAGAGGTCTTTATTTGGTGGTATTAAAGGGGCAATATTCTAAGTGTCCCCCACGTTTAATGCCTCAGCTCTGTAGAGGGAAGTTACCTGATGCTTATTACCCAACCCCTACCCCGTGCCAAGATCAAGAGGCATTTGACCTTGGAGGGAGGTATCTTCTGTTCTTCATTTCTCTGTTCCTCTCCTTCCACCAAGGAAATGAGCGGTACTGATGGTCAGATGTGTCTTGTTCTCCAATATCGGGGCAGAAGGATGAAGAACAGGGCCAGAGGAGAGGCTTGGGGTTAGCACAGCTGCTCTGTGGGGCAAGGTAAGCTTAACGGCCCTTGCCCATTCCTCTGCTGAAACACCTCATTTCACTTTCTCACTGTGAGAATAGGAATAAGATGTTAAGGCTCACCGCCATCCCCTTCTCAAGGGTGGTCACATACCTTTGCCCCCTCCACCGACTGGGCCAACGGGGAGAGTCATGCTCTTGGGAAGAACAAGCCTTCCAGGTCTGCTCTCCAGTTTGGGCTTTTCTTTAGTCCAGTACTGCTTTTATCAGACCCGTAACTGCTGGCTCTACTGAGAGTGATAATTTTGCTGAAGATTCTTCCCCCTCCTCTCCTGACATCCTCTAGGCTGTTGCCTGGAGCCAAGAGGTCTGGCAGTGAAGTAAGGATAGGGTGTGGAGCAGGAGATTCTCAACTCCTTGGCTTCAGGCACTGTCCAGCTGGGAGGCCAAGGGGAACTTGTACTCTGAAGCCTGTGACTTCTCTAAGCCTCATATCTCTTCACCACTACTCTGGTGCCCTGGTTATCTGTCCCACAGCGAGAGGTATTTTATGTCCATAAAGTGCCCGTGGTAAGTGCTCAGAATTCATCTCTTGGCTGTGGCGGGTGCTGCGATTTCTCATTCCATTGAGGGAAAGAAACTGAGGCACAGTGAGTCCAGAGGAGGGTGGATCAGGATTGTGGAAGGAACGAATGGGCCTCGCTAGTGACCTGAAGTGCCAGCCAGGCTCTGCCTGCCTCCTAGCCCTCCAGATCACGGCATCTCCATCCCTCCCATCCTCTGCTCTACCTGGTCTTGTCAGATGCTTTTCCCCACTGTCCTGTCTTCTCCCTGCTGCCACATACTGTTAGATTCCAAAAATAAAAGGTAAAAATAATTATAGACACTCTTCTTCCTTGCTCTACCCCCTTCCACCCTGAGCTTTGGGGCTAGGGGACTAAAATGTCCCCCCTCCAGAATCCCTCCCACCTTGGTCTGCTGGCTCTATTCCCTAGCCCAGAACAGTGATTTGGATTCAAATGCCCTGTAACCTTCAGCCTCCTTACTGCGCCTTTCCCTCCTCACCCTTCCCAGACCGGGACTCTGGGATCACTATGCTTTTTTATTGACCTGAAGATAGAGGCTGGGAGCAGGGGCATTCCACAGGCTCTTTGGTCTCTCTCTTGGCTGAGGGAATTTGGGCATAAGCAGGCTGTACCCTCTGGCTAAGTAACTCAGTGTCCTAAGGCTGGACCTGAGGGTCAGTGAGTGGCTCTCATCACATAGAATCCTGGATGGTGAGGGCTCCCCCAGCTCTTACACCCTAACCTCTTCCATTTTCCATGACACCTGGCTTAAATTCCACCCGTTTGGCTCAGAAAGGTTGAGTTAGGGTGACTATGGGTTAGAGACTTCCCTGTGTCGGCCCTCTTGCCCTTTACTCCCATTCCCAACCCTGGAGGCTTTATACAAGTGCTTAAGTGGGTGGGTATTGGGGCAGAGCAGGGTCTGGGGAATAAAGGATAAATGGGGCACAGTGGGCAGGGGCCATCCTATTCCAGTAAAGCCAAATACCAAAAAATGAAAAGTCACAATAAATAAATAAATAAAATTCCCAAATCCTTACTTTTGCCCCTGCCCTCACTTCCCTTCCCTGGCCACTGTTGGGAGGGAGAGAAGGAAGAAGCTAAGAGTGGATTTTTTAGTTCCTCTCCTACTGAGTAGTCAGGGGATCTCCCCAAACTATACCAAGCCCCTCACCTTGCTAGCGGAAGAAAGGAGGCTTGGTGTGGGGCTTTCCTTTATTACTCCATTTCAGTCTCTTTCTCCGTGTTTGTCTCTGCCTAGTCTGTCTCTTCTGCCTCTCCCTTTGCCTTCTCACTGCTGCTCTTTTTGTTTCTCTGCCTTCTATCCCTCTCTCTCTCCCTCTGTCTCTACATCTCTCTGTCTTCTTGCCAAACCTTCTCATCTGCAAACTCAAACACTCCCCGCTCTGACCATGCCCCTACTTCCCCTGACCCCAAACCTCTCACCCTTAGTCCCCACCTGCCTCCCTCTGTTGTATTGCACACTGCTTGGTTGGGGAACACGGCGTGACGCTCACGGGAAGAGTGGAGGGAGCGCTGAGGCTTGGAGGGCTGAGGGTCAGGGCTAGGGGTCTTGGGGCAGGGTCTGTGTGGGAGGCATCCTCTGTCCCCCACCTTAGGAGCAGCCACAGCGATCCACCACCATGCCAGGGATCTTGCCGTAGATAATCTGCTGCTTGTCATTGAAGTAGAGCATGTTGATGGGGGACATCTTGGTGGGGGTGCAGCAGGGCCCAGCAGAGCCTCTCGGATTGGCCTGCTGCACCAGGTGGGTGTGCGGATATTTTTGCATGAACATGTACTCGCACTGGCCGGAGCAGTAGTTGGCCTTGTAGCGCTTAGGTGCGATGATCCAGTCCCAGCCGAAGGCCTCGAAGTCCACTGTGAGGGGGTATCGGCAGCAGCGCGACTCACTCGAGTGCTCGTCGCAGTCCAGGCCCAGGTTCCGCCGGGAACGTTTTGTGTTCTCTAGCACTCGAAGCTCCATGAAAGGGTGCTGCGGGCCGGGGAGGGGGAAGAGATGTGATACACCCCGAAGGACTCCTCCTCCCTGTCCCTTCCCCACCTGCCTCTCCACAGGGGCATCACGCAGACTGGCGACTTCAGCTTTCGATTGCTTCCCCCCCCAGACCTTCCCTCTTGCTCACTTTCCTTGCCAGCCAGCCAGCCTCTCTCCTCCAACTCACCTGCCCTCATTCTTCCTCTCCTGGCAACCTGACCCTCATCAGCCCGTTGGCCCAAGGCCTCATCAACTGCCAGTTATTGTGTTCCCACGGATCTTCCATTAACTGACACTTCAAATCCAGTTTTCAGCTGCTGTCTGGCTTGGATCTCTGAAAAGTGATAGTTGCCACCCACCCCTCAACTCCTCTAGAATCAGCTCCCGACCCCGGAGGAATAATGCTCATCCCAACCCCCTTCACATTTCTGGTCTGCCTTTCCAATGTACCATCCCCTCAGGGCCAGGTTACACCTGTCCACCACCACCTCAGGCCCCTGCTCACCAGGCCCTCAGCTCCCGGCCCCAGGGAGGTGACAGCCAGGTCTGTGCCACTGGGATCAAAGGCGTTGATCTCGATGCCCCAGTTGCTCTGTGGCTGGCGGAACCAGCTGTGTAGCACTTGCTTGAAGTCGATGCTCTGCCAGTGGCCGGAACGTGAGTGCAGCTCAATCTTCAGTGAGCGGATCCGGATGTGACGCCGGCCTCCGCCCCCTCCCCCTGCGGTCCCTTCCCCGGTCAGGGGTTTTAGTCGCAAGATCTGCAGGTAGACTGTGGCTGGGCGGGGCACAGGCCGCAGGTACACCCACAGCTGAGCCTTCAGTACCTTTGTGAACATCACCTTGGGGCTGAAGTGGAAGTGGCAGCAGAGGGGGCTGCCGTCTGTCTGCACTGCCGGATCCGCTGATGAGACAGAAGGGGGCACAGCGTCAGTAAAGGGTGTTTGTGCCGGGGGGATCAGTAGCCCTGGATGGCACTGGCAATTTGGACTGCTCAGCCTCTGTGTTCCAAGTCTTGACCCTGCTCGCACGCCTGTCTGGTTGACTGCTGTGTCCCCGGTGCCCCACACCGCCTCCTCTCACTGCAGGATGATGGCTCTACTGGGCCTTGCCTGATCCACTTGTCCCAGCGCATAGGTTCCCCTCTATCAGACAACCCCCAGTGGAAGTCCCCAGGGAATCCTCCCTGCACCAGCGTCCTTCCCTCCCTTCAACTTTCTCTGACTCTTTGATGCTCCTCTTAGAAGCCATACCTCTTATCACACCTGCTGTCCTTACGTCACCTGTCTCTGATTTGTCTGATGGGCAGATGGAGCCTGGCACAGCCCCCATCCACCACCACCACCTAAGAAACCACAGATAGCCTCAGAGAGGGGATAACCTAGGGTCCACACAGGAGCAGGGGTTAAATGTATCCCATTAAGTAAGCCAGAATCCACATCTAGGTTTCTTGCCTCACTCCCATTAAGAATAGCACACCTGGAAGAGCAGAGGTACCCAAGCACTTCCTGTTCGCCTGTCTCCCATTCTCTCTACCCTAAGTACAGGTCTTCTCAGCCACTGCCCCATTATCATCTCTACCACTGCCTCAGCTCTTGAGGAAGGGACCAACCCCTCCAAGCATCTGAGATCATGTTCAACACACCAGATCGGCTAACCAGTCTTTTCTTCCCTGAGCTTCCCCCCGCCAGTTTCCTTTTGTTTCATAGTCCAGTGCCAGTAAGTCTTTACAAATGCACCCCCACTTTACATTATGATGCGTTTCTCCTTGCTCTGGACCATAAATTGATCCCTCTTGGCTCTAAAAGATGATTCCCAATAAATACCTGCCCCTGCTTCCATTCTAGCTCCTCAAAGTTCCTTTCCTAATTTATTTTTCTATTTTTTGTTTTTATTTATTTTTGAGTTGGGGCCCTCACTCTGTCACCCAGGCTGGAGTGCAGTGGCACACTCATGGCCACCCCAGCCTCAACCTGCTGGGCTCAGGTAATCCTTCCACCTTCGTCTTCCAAGTAGCCAGAACTACAGGTGCACACTACCACGTCCAACTAATTTTTTGATTTATTGTAGAGATGCGATCTCGTTAAGTTGCCCAAGCTGATCCCGAACCTGTGGGCTCAGGCAGTTCTCTCACCCCAGCCTCCCAAAGTGCTGGGATTACAGGCTTGAGCCATCACGCCTGGCCTATTTTTATTTTTTTGAGTTGGAGTCTCACTCTGCCCAGGTTCGAATGCAGTGGCACGAGCACAGCTTGCCACACCTTCAAACTCCTAGGCTCAGGCAATCCTCCCACCTCAGCCTCCTGAGTACTTGGGACTTCAGGTGCATGCCATCACACCCGGTAATTTATTTATTTATTTTTTGTAGAGACAAGGTCTCACTATGTTGTCTAGGTTGGTCTCAAATTCCTGGGCTCAAGCAGTCCTCCTGCCTCGACCTCCCCAAGTGCTGGGATTATAGGCATGAGCCACCGTGCCCAGCGCCTAATTTCTTAGATCAGTTGGGAGTGCCCTACATCATGTCTCCATTGGACAGAGCTATCCATTGCCACTCTAGACAGGAAGACTCAGGAATGAGCTTCAAGAGCCATACATGTATGGCCACAAAGTCTAGGCTCTTAAGTTTTATGCCCAGGTCTCCAGGTCTGCATAATCATGGAGGACTGAAGATGTTGTCTTGCTCACCCCCACCCTGGGAGCAAGAGGACCCTCCAAGTGAAATAGGAAGGAAAGTGCTCACTGATCTCATGTACTCAGGACATGAAGCCCTGAACACTTAGTCCTGAGACCCTGACACCAACTCTGTCTGTAGCTTTTTTCTCTGATTCTTCTCTGAGGTCCCAGGGCTCTGGTGGTCCTCCCAGTTACCTACTGGCTTTAGTGATGGTGCCATGAAGCAGGGTTTGGGGAGTGAAGATTCAGTGATTGGGAGTAGCTGGAGTGGGGAAGCTCCTGGTGAGATGGGGAGTGGCAAGCAACATTCCCGTGGCATACTGTGCCTAATTTCAGCACAGGAAGGGACTATTTTCTTGCCATTCGGCACTGGTCCCCACGAGGGTGGACACTGTCTCCCGATCCTGTCTGCTTACTGTTGTAGCTTCTGTGCCTCTCCTTCTGTGCTTCTCGTAGTACCAGAGAGTACTCAATAAACACAGGCTGACTGAACTCCCTAAACTCCCAATCTTAAATGATTCAGGCAAATGCCTGGAAGTTCTTCCTGGGATCTGAACTCTGTTCTTGGCTATAGTTGAAGTGGGTTTAATCACTGCCGGACTCCCCGTTAAATAGTGCCTAAACTTACCCACCAAATTTCTCAGTGTTATCAAGATAATGATTCTTGCTTCATGGCAGTGCTGAAGATTAAATAAAGACTGTGAAAACAGGAGTAGCTTCTCAATAAATGTTTTGTTTTCTAAGCTCTCAACATACCTCTCTACCTAAGCTGACCCAGTATTTGAAGGTGTTGGACTGGGCACCAGAGCCCCATCTGAGTCTTTGGTTCCTTAAGGCAGGAGTCTCCCATCCCCACCCCAGGGAATCACCACACACTTGTCCCCCATTGGGTGTGGGGACAGCCAGTGCTACAAGGGGACAGGACACGGGGAGAATGAAAAGAGGAAGGGAAGAGCCAGGGAGAGATTTGGAGACGGTGAGGAAGATAGTAGAGAAAAGACTGAGAGGGAAGCAGCTTAGAGGAGACAGGCAGAGAAACAGAGGCTAGAGTAGGAAGCAGGGAAAGTTCTGGTGGGGCAAGAAGTTTGGGAGCCGGAGAACCCTGGGGCCAGAACTGGAAAGGGG